GCACAAATTATACTAATAAACATGGAGTGGAAAACTACTTATAAAAAATAATCATATTTAACACCTCATGGATGGACTACAACAAAGTATGCTCCCACATCAGTACATGTTAGACTGACATGTTTTGATTTTATAAAAATAGTTGGTAATCATAAAGAAAAAAAATATTCATTTATCATATATCACTACCTAGAACTGCAAGTGGTGGTTGATTGAATGGGCATGAAAAATTACCAAATCCATCCATGAAGGGTTATTCTTGTAATTGAATTTCTATTTTCTTTTTTTTCTTCTTCTTTTTTTTGCCTTTTAATTATAGGAAGTGAAACCTTTGGAATTAATTAAACCATACAATAACCTTAAGCAACCAGAAAGAGCAACTCTTATATTTGGCACAAAAGCTCTACTTCCTGAGAAATCTTTTTCATAATGAAAATAGGCAGGCCAGATAAAACCTCTCTCTATGTAGCAAAGGTAGGCATCTTACTGGAAAGGGTCATGCAGAATAATACTTTTTATTAATGCATCTACACCCACTGCAGAAACCTTCTTCCTTCAAATACTGATTTGCATAAGATAACATCCATCTATCTTCAACAAAAGCCAGGCATTTCCGAATATTAGACTCAAACATTATAACTTACAATATGCATAAACTGCCAAAAGTCTTTTAGCTTAAAATTAAAATTAAAATAGTTTCAGCCCTATGTATTGCAATATCCTATACTGAAAGAAATATAGTACAACAGACTTTTGAATTGATCATTTCACTGCAAAGAATTAACATCACTGATCCAGATTATAGTACTTGGATTAATGAAACCATATCTCTAGCTAATATAAAACCCCTTTACCTAATTCATATTTATTTTCTTGATACATAATTCATACAATATTCATACATTTGGGAAAAACTGAAGCAAATAACAATTTCTCTAAACTCATCTGTAAATAAACATGATAAAATTGTACTTCTAGTCTGAAATAACTGTTCTTCTTGGCCTTTCTTAATACCTCATTTTCATTTATTAATGTTTTTTTTATAATCCTTGGAAAATCTAAAGTTTCTGGACGTATATCCTCTTCAAAGGTAAATTATCTGAGGTTTCCCATACATACCATAGACATATTAAAGGAACAAGATTTGTTTTTCTAAGTGTGTGTTTTACTTCTTCTGTGACATTAACAGCAGCAGGTACTGGTGTGACTACCTATAAAGAGGTTTTGACTTAAAATGCTTTGATTTACCTTAAGCAACTCATATAAATGACAGATTCATTTGGTATGTAAGATCTTTTATCACTAACCTTGCCTTCAGCATTTACAGTATTCTTATCTAATCTTATTTCACTAATGTATCCTGTATTCAATTAGATGCTAGTGAAATATCCATATAAACTGATATCCCAAAGGCCATCAACTATATGTTTAATACAGAATACAATATACATAAGTAGGAAAAAAAATTCATGGTTGTATACTTTAACTTGCTCAGGACATCAGACACACAGACATACATACTACACAAATAGATATAGAGAGTATATAAAAGACTCAGATGATATGACAGGTAACATACTAAGACCCACCATCTTGTAAGATCTAAAATGCTGGATTAAATGACTGTAACACTATGCTAAAAATCTGATTAATTTCCATGTTCATACTTTGTTTGTGCTTCTTATAAGCCTATGGCATTAATGTTAAAACCATTCAACACACAATATATGGCAGCACAAATTAAACAAATAAATAAATAAAATAAAAATAGTGACACTTCTTTAAAATAAAGTAAATTGAAAATATAAAGGTTTAATATATTTTGCAGAAAAACAATACGGTAGGGAAATGTCATGGAACTGGTGAGATTTCCTTACCTCTAAAAAAAACTACAGTAATTTCAGCATAGTGTAACAGCTTCTTGATGAACACACTGGATACTAAAAGAAGTTGTCCAGTCTTCTCTTCCTTCCAAAAGCACTGACAGTAACTATCTTGCTAGATCTCATACCATTTCTTTCATTCTGCCCACATCACACACAGTTAAAAGTGGTTCTACAAATTAGTCTTTTACCTATGGGTTCACTGCTTTACTTCAAAGGCTTTGAGGAAGAGCCTTTCCCTTATTTCCACATTCCCTCCTATAGGATACTCTAACACTCTCTTTGCCTGCTACTACCCTAACCAAAACCCATTTACATTAATTCATCCCTTGTTTCCTACCCGCTCATCCAAATTCTCAGTCCATTTGGCAAACCTCACATGGAAGACATGGGGGATCTCATGGTCACATGACTAATCCCTAACTAGGCACTAGTACTTTTGTGTTGTCCCTTACTCCTAAATCTGTTGATGAATTCAAGCAAGGTTATTTTAAAATTAGACTACTGATTTTCATATTCATTCCTTTCTCACATTTTTTTGGTTAAGAAATTCATATAATCTTACAGTGATGCAATGATGAAATTCTTACCTTCCATGTAATGAAAAGAAGTTAATAATTTTTGCCACACTCTCTAATTGTGCATATATATGATTGGGTCTGTGTGGGTGTCGGTGTCGGTATGAGTGTAGGTATGGGTGTAAATGTGGGATAGGCTGTAAGTGTGGGTACAAGTGTGGGTATTGGTATAGGTATACTGGTATGAGAGCAGGTATATGTACGAGTGCTTTCATACACCCACAAAACACCCGTACTCTAACAAAGATACCAGGAAATGAACTAACAGTTCATCTTAAGTGTTTTTTACAATGAACTGGGAAGAGGAGGAGGAGAAGGAGGAGGAGAGAGAGATGGGGGGACCATTCAACAAAGGTACTTCACTTTCACTTATGAATGAGTCACATGAGAAACAAGAAAAAAAATATACATATAAAAAACATAGTTATAAATATTTGCACATAGAAACAAATAGAAAAAGAAAGGGAAAAGCATGACTACAAATATTTGCACATCTTTAAATATCTTCTGTTTTAACCATAGTAAAGGCCAACAAATGATCCCATCAAGGTTGACTTTGCTGGTCATTGTGTGTGAGAGCATACACCTGCTGGGTAAGTATCAGGTTCCTGTGCCGTAGGACTTGGAGTAGGTCAGCTTGCCGCTCCAACACCCATTCTAAGTTGCTCGGACCCCTGGTGAAGTAAAAGAACAAGTTTCTGCTGTCATGCAAAGGAAAATTAAGAGAGAAAAGATTTAAAGCAATAAGCATCCATTTAGAATCTTTCTTACAATTTAGAAATCAATCAATACTTAATTAGTACACAGAAAATGTATACAAAAGAATAGATATCTCCATAGTGCATGATGTGCACTTGACCAGTTTCATTTACACCTTCAATTATATGTTTGATGAAGATACTCTAAACTTGCTACAATGAATACTGTTCATATAATTAGTAGAATATTTCAGGGTACCTTTAGAGCCCTCATTAAGGTTTAGATATTATCAAATCTAAGTTATTTATCCTTTTCATCATTGTCTTTATCATCATCATTATTATCATTATCATTATTATCATTATTATAATAATCATTAGAATCATTATAGTCATCTTTATCATTATCAATATCATCATAATCATCATTCATATTACTGTTGTACTCATCATCGTCATCACCATTACTGTTACTGTAAAAATAATAATAGTAATAATAATGACACAAAATCACACTTACCGCACTCCCACATAGGAATCAGGGCGGGTGAATCTGAGAGCCACATCTTCTGCTAGGGTGTCAGGGGGTAGTCCAGCAAGGTTGAAACGAACAACTTCCACTAAGAGAGAGAAAAAAATTAGAAAAGAGATTACAAAAAAAATAAAACTCCATAATAAATCTCACTTTTGTAAGTTCCACTTTTCATTTAATCATACATTCTATTATCCTACTTATTCTAGCAATACAAAATGAGTCATATATGATTTATGAATAATACAATACTTGAAAAAAGACATGAGAACTGAAAAACATACCTATGTGTTTGATGACAAAGGGAATTGCACAAAATATCTCCAGGATAAAAATCACTTGCTGATAGTTAACAGGGGTCAGTCCAAGATTCAAACTACAAGTGTCTGAGCTTCCACCCAGACAATAGTCTTTTACAACGCAACCAATGACTATCAAAATAACATTTCCTGTAAATAAAAACACAAAGAAAGTAATTAATAAAATACCTAAAAGAATCCAAAGAATAGAATAACATCTGAAAGATACTGAAAGACTATCTAAATGAAGTTACGGATATGATTTGTGGATGGCTGAAGGAAAAATTAAAAACACTAAAACATTGCAGTGGTATGAATGAGGCAGAAATTGAAGTTAGAAGGAAGATGCTTAAGTTAAGAGTGGAAAAGAGGCAGTAGTAGGGAAAACTATCTGCCAGCTAAAAATCAAGCTAGATGTGTAATGAATGCAGTGCAGAGCACAGTAGAATAATATTTTTTTAAATGATGCAAAGAACTATGCACTCTAGGTAGATGTGAGAAGTGTGATGTCAGGGAAAAATGTGGTATGAAAGATCACATTACATTGGTGTATGCTTATGAAAGAAAGAAGGCCAGGATGATAGAAAAGACTCACAATGAGTGCACAAACCTCCTGGCGGCTGGTTAGACTCATCTGATGCCTAGACAGGGGCTTTTTCATTATTCCCAATGACACACGAGGGTGGAATGTATGTCCATGAGCCATGACTAGAAGAGCATGGGCTCAAAGGCAGATGACATTTCCATACTCGGCATTCTATTCCTGGCTGCCGTGACTAGCAGTGCAGGTTGTATTACAGAGAAGAAGAAGAAAAACTTTTATTTACTACATAGAGAGATGTGCAAGAAAACAGCATAACCATCTAGACGAAGCAAACCAAAAGACAAAAATGGACATGGGAAAATGTCAAAAAAGCTAAACAAATTTATGCAAAATAACATTGCAAAGGGGAGGTATAGTCTTGTCACTGCATGTAAGTGTTTGCCTATGCCAGCCTACATGCACACCTGGCAGAGCAGCTGCTTACTTAAGCTTATTGCCTGTATTTTGGTCCATGTGATTGATATAAAGCAACCAGATTCAAGTGGCTAAAATTGTGCAAGGGGCCATCCAACTAATAATAAGTTATATGAATATGCAGATACTAAGAATTTTTTTTTACATCTGTCTATTTATCTGATAGATATACAATCCATTAGATATGCATGTCTAGACTGATAGATATGTATTCATTTCTGTGTATATGCATGTCCATACAATGATCATTCATTGGGCTGGGCCTCACATAATTTTAACCAACTGGCTGATAGAATGTCTAGCCCTGGAAAGATGGTTGGGCGGTCTGTTGAAATCCTCTGGGGACTTTTTTGCATTGTACTGGTGACAAAGTTGACCAAAGTTGTTTAGATGGTATTGTGCCAGAGGTCTTAGTGCTGATCTAGAGTATATGGTGATATGGGTCGAAAAATTTTATCACGCTTTATAAGATAATGAGAGCCTCTAAAAGGCAAATTAGGGGAGGTACTGTAATTACTGATATAAAGTCTAGTTTTATGAGACAGATGTTTTTTCTTCTTTTTTGAGATAATTGCAAGGGAAATATTTAGCAAAGATGAAAGGTCTTTACTTTAACTTTCATGGATTTGGAAAAAAGTAACTGATAGTGGTTTTCAAGAGGTGTGGAGATCAATGGGGTATGTCGGTGCAGATCACTGATCTTCAACTGGAAGCCATTTGGCTCCTAGGGGATGAAATACGAATCTAATGCGAACTGCTGAGGAATTTTAGTCAAGATTGGAAAGGAAGTACTTGCTCTATGCACAAACCATAGAACTTTTCTGGCCATGAAATATAAGGATTTTATATTATCCTTCAACTACAATGAAAATACAATAAAATAATTCAATAAACTTATCAATGGAGCTGATGCCAAAAAGGGCACAAAACTTCTTCCACCCTTTGTTTCTAACTAGAAGGGTTTCTCATGGTGAGCCACCAGGCAGGTTCTCAGCAAACCTCTAACTCCTTGCAACAGGTCTGGTCAATCTGCCCAGCCACAACTTCCTTGGTCACCACATGGGTCTCCTCCACCCAGGATTGTCTCATGAAGAGATAACCTGATGAGCAGGGTCATACATGGATGCCTAAATTGCCTGAGTTGGCAGTCCAGGATAGTGCAGGTAAAAGGTTCTATGCCAGTCTCATGGTGTAGTCATGGGTTGGATACATGGTCCTGCCAACTGTGTAACATTGATCTGTCTCATGGACCCAGTTGAAAAAGGCATCATGTCATAATTCCAAGGCACAAGATAGTGTCTGGGTTTCACTTCCATAGAACAAAACTTAGTCCTTCCTCACAGGTAGGAGCATCTACAAGAACTATTGTTGACCGATTTCATGGCACATGCTGTCAGGGCAATCCGTCTACTGACTTTCTGGTCTAATGGCCCAGAGTCATGATTATATCTTTATCTAGGGGAGGAACTGGAGCAGCATGGAATTGCAAGAGAAGGGATATGACCTGAGATACATACAAGAAAGAAATGCAGCCACAGTAGTCAAGTCAGGGTAAATGGTTCAGATTGTAATGAGTCTAAAATATGGAGTATGGCATCAAAGGAAATGGTCTCAAGATGACTCTGAATATAAACAAAGGTCATGGGCAGTAGAGATGGAAGGGATGCTCAGGAATAGGGGTTTGATTTATTGTAATGTATATAACCATTACCCATTGGATTAATATGAGTGGTATCAGTATTAGGCTTAAAAGAAATGATAGATCTAAGTGCAAAAGCTATCCTAGTGTTATGCAAGGACAGAATGAACAATGGATCTGTTGAGGTCATAAAATAGTTTTGCTCCCTAAAAGTTACAATTACTGCAGATCGTGAATGGTGGATGACTAACTAGTTATGATGAGGAGGGAGAATAAATAGAGGTTATGATGAGGAAGGAAGATGAATAGAGGTTATGATGAGGAAGGAAGATGAACAGAGGTATCTTATTCAAAATAAATGATATAAAATACTGAATGAATTCTCAATCCCATAAATCTAAGCCTTAAGTATGCATTTGGAAATTATACAAATGATACTGACTAATCAGTTTACTCTGCAGCTGGCAACAGGATCATAGCATTATTTTATTTCTCATCGGACATTCATTAATCTAAAATCCATGGTAGAAGTGACTATAAAAGAAATCACAACCATTTTAAGCTGTTTCTTTAAAAACTAAATACTTGTATCATTAGTTATATCATCTCACCTCCACTCAAAATGTAAAAAGTGACTCTGTGTAGATATCGGGTTGCATTGTAGAAATCATGATAGCCAAGAATTCTTGATTTCTTGTGTTCTGCCTTTACATACCAAGTAAGAACCTGAAAAACAAATATTTCTTAAGAAAATGATACACATTACATGAAGGTATGCACTTCTAAAGGGGACAACCAGACCAGCTGAACAGCAATATTTGTATTCAATGTTTTGTCAATCTATACCTTCTTCTATACCATGAGCATCGATAAATGATTGTAGTGCATTAACATGAAGATATTAATACTTATGTTAGAGATGAAAGATTAATTTCACAAAACTTTTAGTAGATGAAATTGGTCTGAGACCCCCTTCAGATGCACATACCTTCATATATAAAAGACAAATATTATCTAGAGAATAATAAACTTTATATGACAAGAATTTTTGTTCACACACAAGTAAGCTCATATAGGAATGGCATTTATCTTTGTAACTGAATGGCACAAACATCTTCTAAACATGAAAATTGTAAAAATTTATTCAATATCACAACAAGTAAACAAACACACACATACACAACAAAAAAATCACAAGATAATCTAAACCAATTTCAATTATTTGTATTTGATTTAAAGATTTCTTATAAAATAAAGGATAAAAATATTCAAAAGTAAGTAGGGGACACACTGATATGCTAGATTCCCTCATCCCTCAAGTATATCTGTTTCTGCTTTGCATTCTCTGTTTGACAGGTTCATCACGCCCATTCCTGCTCCTGCCTTGTGCGATGAAACAGTCTTCCCAATAGTTAATAATTGCATGTCTGATCACATGTTTTGTGATGCCTTATGGAGGAGCTATATGTTCCCCTTCCCCAGTCCCCCTTTCTCATCCAGGGGATGATAAAGGGGCTATGTGCCCTCGTCGGTGTTAGCCCCCTTGATTGATTGATTGATTGGGGAAGGTGGTGAAGTATCATTGTTGTGATAGAGGGGATTTGTATTCAAGTGGGGGTGGTAGAGAGGGTGGCATATGTAGGAGGATGGGAGGTGGAGGGAATTTGAGGAGGAGGAGGGATATTTGCAAATACTTTAAACTTAGGAATAGAAACAGAGGGATTGGGGGTTGGATTAGGGAGCAGAGTATTCCTTTGGGTCATCTTTAGGAAATTTTGGATGTCTTCACGGGTTTCTGCCGGGGACTTAAGTGAAGAGCACTGAGAAATAAAGGTTTTCTTGTGAGGAATAGAAGAGGAGACAGATATATGAGGAGCAGAAGAAGAAGAATGTGTACCAGAGGCTGTTGTAGGAGAGAGTAAAGTGAAATGTTTCGGTTGCCTGGTGCAACAAACAAAGTGAGGAGGAGGGGTAGGTATCCAGGAAGTGGTAGAGATTGGAGTATCTGGATTCATACTGGAAAACAAATTTGCTTGAGGGGTAGGGTGAGTAGAGGTATGATGGTTTAGGGTATAGGGAAGGGATACTGGGGGAGATGTAGAAACATGGTGGGGGGGCAGAGTGAAGGACTGTTTTGGAATAAGTTGAGAGAGAAAACCCTTGTCATCATGCTTCTTGTCTGGCCTCACGTAGTGAGGCCTAGTTTGAATCTGAGGACTGCTATCTCACATCCAAGTTTATAGGCAGGGCACCTCCTATAAAATACATTATGGGAGTCTCCACAATTGGCACACGTACATGACTGAGCAGGGCAATTTGAACGGTCATGATCAGATTGGGCACATAGAGGGCAGCAGGCTATGAAGCAACAGTGTTTGGCTGGGTCGCCAAAACACCAACATTTCTGGTATTGACAAGGAAGGGGTCGATATGGTCGCACAAGGTAGGACAATCCACCAATATAAACTTCATGGGGGAGGTCATGTCAATGGAAGCTAATCTTGGCAATATTGGCATGGGACTTTCACTAGCATCATAATCAGCAAGGCAGGTAAGTACGTGATTTTCACAGTCTGACCAGTCCTTGTTGTAGATAGGACAAACATTTGGGTGGATAGAAACAATTCCAGTATAAGTATTAGGGGAACTGTCCCAGAAAAGGCCTAAAAAATAATATCAGTTGGAGTTATCTCATTGATTATTTTTGCATAAAATAGAGTATATAATTGCACTTCAGCTCATATATAATTTTAACCTCGTCCCCCCATAGGGGAGGGGGGCACCCCCAAAAGTTAAAAATATTTTTTTTTTTCTTGAGTACATCCTAACTGCCAGTTTTTTCCAGAATAATCCCCCCAAAATACTTATGTTAGATCTATCCTATCCTAAGGCTAAATAGCCATTTTTTTACTTTCCTTTCTTTTTAATAGAAATATTTTAATCATTATTCATACAGCTATTTCCAAACATTAGTGCTTCGTACTCAGTATACATACAGATCCCTTCATAAGCTACAACATATTACCAAAGAATCTCAATGGAAGCATATTTCATGTGTAAAAGTACACATAACATTTTTTTATATGTATTTCACAAAATATTTTGTCATAAATCACTGATATTTTTTCTGATATTGATATAAAAGTGTTTTTTGAACATTCACAAACTCATATCTATGTGCAATGTCATTATCAAATGCTGTATGCACAATTGCAACAAGCAAAAGTCCATATAGGTGTACCCAGGAGCATATTACTGGTGTACCTCCCCACGCATTGGTGGGTCTCACGTGCGCCATCCAAGAACTAACTATAGCCGGGCTTTAATAGTTGTTTGGTTGTTTCCTTATTCATGTACCTATACCACAGGCTAACTAACTCAATTTGACCCAAACACTTTACACCCTCATGACGATTCCCTTTAGAGAGGGGTGAGGTTCGGCATAAAAAGGGTTTGCCAGTGAGGTCAGTTAGGGTAGATATTGCACGAGCTTGGGATTCAGATGTACCTGAGACAAGGCATGAATGATACAACTGACTGTGAAAGGTAACCTTGCCTACTTGTTTTTGGAGGCACTGTTGAAAGAGAAGAGTATTCTCAGAATAGAGGGCTGTGGGGGGAACCATAAAGAATCAATATCATTTGGCTGGGCCAAAGATTGTACTCAAAAGGTTTGCAGAGGTAGAGACAGTAGAAGGACGAGGACAAGAGGGGAGGAGGATAATAAGATTGACGAGTAGAAATTGAAGAGGAGTGTGCAGTAGGAGGAGGATAGGATAATGTTGGAGAGAGGTAGGGGTGCTTTCTGGAGGTGGAGTAAATAACCTGGGTGGGTGTTTTGGAATGGATAGAGTTATCAGTAAGCATCGAGGAGGGTAAAAGTAAAGAATCATCATTATTGACCATGATGAGCCTGAATAAAATGGAAAAAAGAAACGGTCTACCATTTAGGGTTCCCATAAGGAGTAAGGGCTGGGCAATTAACCAAGGGAATATCGTGCCCATGGCTCCCAGAAGCCATTCATGACTGACACAAAGCCAGCCTTTCTTCCTTTTAGCATGGCTCTCACACCTTAGGAATGGGATAGGAGAAGGGGATGAAGACACAGAAGAGGAAAGGGGAGAAGAAAAGACCAAGCAAAATTAGTTCAGGTGAGGGCTGAGGCCCAACCTAGGCCCTCCCACAACAACAACGAGCAAGGTATTGGGACTCTAGAGAAAAGAACACAATGAACACTGGAAATTCCTTTCTACTGAGTATATTCTTTTCCTTTTACATAGTCTGCCAACTACTGTTACCTACAAGTCTAATATTCAAACTTTTATTATTTTGTGATGTCTAAGCTGACAGTGAGAGAGAGGAGATGGTGACTGAGGGACTGCCAGGGTTGATTTTTATCATCTCTAATTTATGGATATATCATGTAATTCATGTAACAGAGTCAGCTCAGTTGAGATTTCTAATTAGATTCATACCAGAATACTATAACCTCCACACCTAATCGCTCAAACAGAAAAAGAGGATTTTCCATCAATCAAATGACAAAAGGCAAGAATCTTCCACATCTGAGACTTATGTGAATCATTCAGTACTTAACAAAACATCATTAGATGAATAAAGCTTTATGTGATAATCCAAACTATCAACATCAGCAAAAAATATCAATAAATTAATGATAATAAAAAATAAAAAATAAAAGCATTCATACTATTCCCAACCACCAAACAGAACCTTTGGTGCATTTACATATTGGAAATGGAATAGTTTACTTATAAAACTACCATATAAATTTGTAGTATGTCTACTTAATATTATAATTACAAACAGCCATATTCTGTATCTAAATCCACAGATCAGAAAGAGGTCAACACATCCACATAAACTACTCACTAGACACAACTTACAATTAAATGCATAAGCTAATAAGATAAAATTGAGAAAACAACTGCTTACCATAACCACAGCCCACACAATGATGTGGAGGTACTGGAGGGCAGAAAATGAATCAGTACCAGTATTTGAAGTGTGGACGACCGGGACAAGAAATGCTCCAGCTGGTAAAATGATCTGTCAAGAACATTACATATCCAACATCATAAGCATCATGATTATTATTAGTGCTACTGTGATACTGTTGTTGTTATCCTTATCAGGATCAGGATCATTATCTTTATCATTATCATTATCATTACCATTATAAAGAGATTACCCTAAGAAAGTAAGAGACAAAGAGAAGTTAAGAAAAAAAAAAAGACAGAAACATAAAAGAGGCAGGATAATGAAAAAAAGTGAGAATGGAACCTTAAAAATTAAATAAAAGAGAAACTGAACATAAGGAATGGAAGACCTTACCAATAGCAATAACTTGCTGTAAAGAGCTGGTATGACAGGGAGTGGGTAGTGATGCTCTTCCTGCCCCACAATGAGCTTCTCTTGATCCCCTCCTACAGTATTAATACTGAAATCCCCTGCTTCCACAGTGTTTGCTTGCCGTTCCATTGTCAGTGTCTTAGGATCTACCAGAAGAAAACCAGAATGATGATGTGCTCTATATCCAATGGTCAATCTTGTAATAGAACTCATCTTTCAAATTCCCTGAATGCTCAAGAACATTTTCAAATTAAACTGTGTGGACAATAATTCCTGATGAATTTCATCTTGCCATACTGATGGCAAATATGAGGTTGGACAAAATCTACAGTCCAAAGCTTATTTATAAACAAAGTCCTAGTGTAATCCTCTTTGATAAAGCAACTGCCTATTTTCAAATTCAACCGTGTTTTTTCTCCTGACAGTTTCCTTGCCTTCCACGTCCTCTGCGTACCCCTTATGCTCTCCTCACCTGCCCTGTGTTTGTTTTTCCTCTGTCCCATGTATACTCCTTCCTTTCTCTTTCCTCTTCAAACTTGAAGATGGTATCCAAGGTGATTTTGAAAGTGTTCTCACTCAACAATAAATTTTTTTTAAGCATTTGTGGCTTTTTCTACTATAAACAAAGTTTGATTAAGGGACTTCTGACAAATCTTTAGCATCCAAGATTCATCAAAAGAAAAAAAATTATTTTAGATTGTGTTTTCACTTAAAAAAAAACACTATCATAATCATTTATACCTGTTTCTAGTATAATTTCTTTTCTTAATAGCTGTGTAAATGTAGGTAAATATTGATACTATACAAAATACTACTATAAAAAAAAGTACAAGAATAAAATAATATAATAATAATAATAATCAACCCTTATGTTCCAGATGACATGACCATCACTTCATAAAAAAAAAAAATTGACTTGAAGATCAGGTGACGTGAATATGCCATCATGCAGCTAAGGGCAGGTGTGAGAATTTTGGCTAAAGGCCTGGCAAAGGGAATTACTCACCATAAGTGCAAAAACCTCTCAGAGGGTGAATAGACTCAGTGGGCATTCAGCATGTGGCTTTTGCATTATTTCCATCAATAAACAAGTGTGGAATGCATTATCCATGAGCTATGACTGGAAGTACACCGGCTCCAGAAAGGAAGCTATTTCCATGCTTAGGGATTTATTCCTGCCCTACACGACCAGTAGTGCAGGTTGTATTACAGAAATTTTACTATTATGAAAAATAAGAAAGACATTAATTAAAAAAAAATTACTTATTGTTATTATTATTGTACTGAGTTAAAGAATAACTTGAGCGATGATATAAAGTCTGTGCAAAGAAAGCTGTCTATTACTATCTGGACAAAGCAAATCTTGCATAAAAGAATATACACCATTCAGTAAACCAGGTGATCTTAAAACCCTGTTTTTCTGTCCTTTCCTCTACATATTGACAATAAAAATATATAATGAAACTACCATGGATGACTGACTGCTCCATGGGTTAAATCTGATTTTGGGGTAAATAATAATTTTTTTTTACACAGATGAATGTATCTCACATTCTTTTCTTTATGTAAATAGGCGAGTCCAAATCCAGATTTTTTATATGAATAATTCCAGAAATCTTTTAGTAATACAAAATGCACGTGATTCATTTTTTGAGATGGCACTGATAGGCATTTTGCAAAAGAATAGATATGAGCAGAGATATCCAATAAGACTTTCTTCATTTCTTTGGCTTTGGCTAATTTTGAAACATGACATGGAAAATCTTGAAAAAAAACATTTGTTACTTATTACCATTAGAAACCATATGTAATATTCCCCCCCCCCAAGAAGCTTGATATTTTTTTTCATTTTCCACTGACTATTTGATAAGATACACACACATAAAAAGGGAAAATCATAGAAGCCTACATATTTACATCTATATCTCTCTATCTATCTATCATATATATATATATATATATATATATATATATATATATATATATATATATATATATATATATATATATATATATATATATATATATATATATATATATTATATATATATATATATATATATATATATATATATATATATTATTTTATATATACATATACTTTTTTATGGTGTATGCATGCAATTTATAGGTCTACATATGTGTGCATGTGTCTGGGTGGGTGTGGACGTGTCTGTGCCTGTGGGCATCTCTGTGCCTGTGGGCATATCTGTGCATGTGAGCATATCTGTGCATGTGAGCATATCTGTGCATGTGGTCATGTCTGTGCGTGTGGGCATGTCTGTGCATGTTGGCGTGTCTGGGCATGTGGCCGCGTCTATGCGTGTGGGCATGTCTATGCGTGTGGGTGTGTCTGTGCATGTCTGTATGTGTGGCCGTGTCTGTGCATGTGGCCATGCCTGTGGGTGTGGACATGTCTATGCATGTTGCTGTGTCTGTGCATGTGGTCGTGTCCATGCATGTGGCTGTGTCTGTGCGTGTGGCCGTGTCTGTGGGTGTGGACATGTCTATGCGTGTTGCTGTGTCTGTGCATGTGGCCGTGTCTATGCATGTGGCCGTGTCTGTGCGTGTCGCTGTATCTGTGCATATGGCCGTGTCTGTGCATGTGGCCATGTCTGTACATGTGGCCATGTCTGTACGTGTGGCAGTGTCTGTGCGTGTGGCCATGTCTGTGCGTGTGGCCATGTGGCCATGTGCGTGTGGCCATGTCTGTGTGTGTGGCCAGATCTGGGCATGTGGATGTGTCTGTGTGTGTGGCCATGTCTGTGCATGTGGCCATATCTGTGCATGTGGATGTGTCTGTGTGTGTGGCCATGTCTGTGCATGTGGGCGTGTCTGCGTGTGTGGGCGTATTTGTGCATGTGAGTGTGTCTGTGCGTATGGGTGTAATAGTGCATGTGCATTTCATATACATGTGTGTGTGTGTGTGTGTGTGTGTATGTGTATGTGTATGTGTATGTGTATGTGTATGTGTATGTGTATGTGTATGTGTATGTGTATGTGTATGTGTATGTGTATGTGTATGTGTATGTGTATGTGTATGTGTATGTATATGTGTATATGTGTATATGTGTATATGTGTGTGTCATGTGCGTGTGTGCATGTGCGTGTCATGTGTGTCTGTGTGCATGTGCGTGTCGTGTGTGTGTGTGCATGTGCGTGTCATGTCTGTGTGTGTACTTGTGGATGCGTGTTAGTGCGTGTCTGTATGTGTGGGTGTGTCTGTGCATGTGAGAGTGTCTGAGCGTGTGAAAGTGTCTGTGCGTGTGGGTGTAATGGTGCATATGCATGTCGTGTGTGTGCGTGTGCATGTGCGTGTGTGTAATGTATCATCCACCACAAACTTTACAAAACAATAGTTGTGCAACAACAAGCTATGCAATTTTGGACAAACAAAACTTCACTGCAGAAATTATGACAACAATAACTTGACTGCACATGTGAGAAGGTTTACAGTCTGAGTGAGTGAGTGAGTGAGTGAGTGAGTGAGTGAGTGAGTGAGTGAGTGAGTGAGTGAGTGAGTGAGTGAGTGAGTGAGTGAGTGAGTGTGAGTGTGAGTGAGTGAATGAGTGAGTGTGAGTGAATGAGTGAGTGTGAGTGAATGAGTAAGTGTGAGTGAATGAGTGAGTGTGAGTGAATGAGTGAGTGTGAGTGAATGAGTGAGTGTGAGTGAATGAGTGAGTGTGAGTGAATGAGTTGAGTGAGTGTGAGTGAATGAGTGAGTGTGAGTGAATGAGTGAATGAGTGAGTGTGAGTGAATGAGTGAATAAGTGAGTGTGAGTGAATGAGTGAGTGTGAGTGTGGATGTGAGTGTGAGTGTGAGTGAGTGTGAGTGTGAGTGTGAGTGAATGAGTGAGTGAGTGAGTGAGTGAAAATGGAGGAGCATTGAGTGCACTTAACATATGGTAATTACTGCTTACCATAGCCACATGGAATGCGCAAAGGTTAATTAATGCACATCTAACAATGAAATAAATATCAGAAGGGTAGCATCTGACACCTCCGATGTTGCATTTCTAATTACCAAAATCACTAGCGTATCAAATTCCGCCCACCCATTAAGATTCAGAAATTATGTCGCTGCCTTTAATTACAAGCGCCTGTCACTTGCTTTCCACTTACGTACTTATGAGAGCAGGACATCGCCACCAGCATCTGATCAACAAGTGACCAAAGTGCGATCTCTCTTGGCAACAAAGAACAAAAAAAGATAACAAATAAATGACAAGTCAAGCATCAAAACAAACACTAAACAATCTAGATCGTTGAGTCAGCTGATCTCTTTTATTTTATGCATTATTATTTTCACAGACTTAATCTATAATCATAAAGTAAGCTTGGGCTTTTTTCTGATTTTTTTCTAATACTGAAAACATATCTATTATCTAAATAATAAGTATCTGGTATATGAAAACACAAATTCCATCAAAGTAAACAAGTCATATTTGCAATTAAAATAAGACAAAAATAATTTTTAAATAACCCAAAAATACAAACAAGATCTATTGAACAAATAAAAAGTTCAACTGAAAAACACTAAAATCGAAGAGCGAAAGGAACCGCCGCCCCAGTCCACACAGTCAACACACACAAACACAAGAGCCTTTTCCTTTCCACGCTCCCTCCGAATCATGGCTGTCGGGAAGAATAAGGGCCTGAACAAATCGGGCAAAAAGGGATCCAAGAAGAGGGTGTAAGTTGATATATGTGGATTCATGTTGGAGTCAAGATATCGTTCTTTATATTGGATATGTGTTATTAGTTCAGGATACTCGAATATCGGAGATGAATGCCGATGAAAATATAGTTGTCCCGTGGAGTGTTCCCGGGCTCGCCGATATGTTGATGGTCGGAGCATGTTCATGTGTAAACAAAAATATGATCAGTGGCTTTTTCTATGATTTATACAAGAGCTACATGGAACATGACATTAGCTTTTGATATTCATTTCGTTGGTTTTATTCAGCTCCGTTTTAAGAGATAGATTCAAATACTTCCGTACCGGGTACCTTAAGTATTTGTAAAGTTCGTGATCGCTGGAGGTCATTCGGCGAACTCCTCTAATGAAATCCGCCTTCGCCTTGCAGTGTCGACCCCTTCACCCGCAAGGACTGGTACGATGTGAAGTCCCCAGCGCTCTTCACCAACAGGAATGTTGGCAAAACCCTCGTCAACAGGACTCAGGGCACAAGTAAGTGGAGGAATGGGTTATCACGGGATTAAAAGGTGGAGCGAAACGCATGTGCAGCTCAAGAGAAACTCGTGAAGTAGATAATCGTTCATAGTTATGTATTGAAAATTGTCAAATTTGTATTCGGTGGCAGTTCTCTAGAATGGATGTTTTCAAATCTGGTAAACGGTAATGAAGCGACCACACCTGCGCGAGAAGTCCGTTTTCCTCCAGCCACCAGACTTCTGGGACCTACAGATCCACAAACGTCGCCCCATGAACCAAAAACCTCAATCGTTAATCGTTAGCACAGACCCCAAACCTAAGCTTGCAGACATTGATCCCAGCCCGTTCTCTTTATTTCAATTTTTTACGCGCCAGTGCTGGCTATTTCACATCGGTTTTAATTTCCCCTCCTTTGAAGTGTCCCCTTTGTGGATTTTGCTCTGATAGTCCCAATTCCATCATGTTAGGTCTGGATGTCAGTGGCTTTATTAAACAGTGATACTAAAGTCGGTTGATTAAGGGCATGAGGGATCCTCTGGAAATGGAGAGGGTAGATTGTGAAAGTGCTAGATTTTTATTAGCCAGCGTTGCGCATACAGGTGCCATATCTGATCTCTTGTAAATATGAATGCATGCCTATGCATGTGTAAACGTTATTTCCAGCGAATGGTTACAAACAACCTGAGTGAGTTGTTGAGACCGCCACCATATTGTTTTTCCCCACACATGCGCACGAACCCAATGGCTTTTCTGCAGTATTTGTAGCTCCCTCCTCTTCATTATTATATCATGTGTTCATTTGTCAAATGCACTGGATATTGATGTCCGACTGTCCTTTGTAAACGTGGCACAAATGTACATTAATGGTGCATTTTAATCCACAAATAAGTAATATAGCTTCACAGAACCATCCAATTATATGCATGAATCTGTTGTTTTCTATTGCATATGCCATAGGTGACGTATTTTTTATTCTTTAGCTACACCAGGGAATCCCAAAATCAATCTACCGAGGGGCTACCTCCCAAAACTCCACCCCAGTCACTGCTTTTCCCTACAGTAGGTTCTTTTAAACGTCCAACTGATTTTCGTATTTCTTAAATTGCGTACTGAAACGGAAGCAGTATCAAAAAATTTAAAATTTCCCCCATACTTTTTCTTGGTTCCAGTGATACATTATGCTCGGTAGTATATATTACTCGTTTCTAATGCCAGATATAGAACACACTAATGGCAAGATAGGACAAGGTCCAGAGTTGGGCTTGGATGGTGCAGGGTAGGTTAGTTAAAATTGCTGAAGTCTGGTGAAAAACCAATTTCGGTAAGACAAATTCATGTTTAGTTGTCTATAGAAGCATTAATGATTAGGTTAATTCTTTACAGTATAGATAGACTAGCTGGAGACAAAATTCCACATCTTCCATGGTATCATTGATGTCTGATGGTTATTTCTTGTACTAGTGACATTTTCATCTCTACAAGAAAAGGAAATCAGGATTTTTGGATCATATAGCATTGCTGATACTTGCATTAAATATTTATTGACGAAAAATAGTAAAAAGTACTTCTAGGAGATTAACACTTATTATAGTGAACATTAGGTAATTCTTTATAGTACAGATGCACTTGCCAGAGAGATTCCTTAATTCCATTTCAAAATTGTTAGACAAATCTAAGTTGCCATAATCGGGCATACTCTTCAGGCATTGCAGAAGGGGAGGCTTGACGGCCTCTACCCTCTCACACCCCCTTAGAAGCATTCTTTCACCCTGGCATGCATGACAGAATGGAGCTGAACCTTAAACACACTGGTTTTTGGCTCTGAGTAGCGCTTTCCATGATCTTTTTTCCGTAATTTGTGGCTTTAGATTAATTCCTGTATTGAAATTATATTATAAAACAATATAATTTTATGAATGTATTCTGTTGATACTTTGCATGGTAGTTGATGTAGTTATACCTAGTAATACCTGATGCTCATGTTAGGGAGGGGGATAGTATGGGCTCACATTTTGCTTGTAGGAATGCAAAATTACATGACAAATTAGATAAATCCCGGGCAAATTCAAGTGAGGTCACATCTTGGGTGGAGGTTCTGGAAGGTTAACCCAATTTGACCCAAATTTCCTCCATCACCGCGACACCCTTGTCAAGGGAGGGTTCCCTTAACCTTACTTGCCACACATTGTCAATTACTATGGTAGTTGTGGGAGTATTTGGCTGCTTACATTATTTCTTATTTTCAACAATTATATTTACCAGGTTGATAGTCCATTGGTACCATATTTGATGTATGTATGCAATGTAGAACTTTGTCATGAAGTGGATTATTCAATTTCATTGCACATCATGCAAATAACCCTTGATCAATTTAATAATTTAGGGTTTGCTGTGACAGGTTCTTGTGACATGGAATTGTGGTTTTCTGTTATGCTTGTAAACTACCTGGTGTGTGCAAGGAATGGCGGGGGTAACCATCCACTGGTGGTGTGCGGGAATCTAATGCAGGGCAGCAAGATTGCTAGACAAAAGCGCTACCATGGCACCACACAGCACAGCATATTCACTGTAATGGGTGATTATTTTGTGTAAATGCACTCACAAGATGTTTGCACAACCCCATGTCACAAGATGTATTTTACAATCTAAGTTTTGAAATATATATACCTATTTAATAAATGTTGGAATAATTAACAAATTTGGAGGGGGGGAGATTATTATATACCTTGATTTCTTATTCATGAAGAAAATTTTTTTTACTCGGATTAGAGAATGTTAAGACACAAAAATCCTACAAACCGTAATTGTCCCCTAATAACTAAAATATATATAGGTATAAAAAGTGCGCGCGTGCACACACACACACACACACACACACACACACACACACACACACACACACACACACACACACACACACACACACACAAAGGTTTAGCAAAAAGTTGCAAAACTCCCAGATGTACTCAAAATGTTGCCAGATGTCCCTATGGTTTTCTATACCAGTAAATGTCATATGCAGTCGGAGACATCTTGTTGATAGGGGCTTTTTTAAAGTTGAAAACGGTATATTCCATCAAGTTCAGAATGGGAATGAAAAGGATAAACAGTATAAGTCATGGGAGATGCTTAACAGGTTAACCCACTTGCGACAGTACATTTGGAGGGCTATAATCCCCCCATTTCCAGGTGGTATCAAAATTAGCAAATGGGCCAGTCCGGGAACCTGTCCGCACGCCTCGGGCTTAAAAATCTGAGCAAGCTCCCATCTTGTGTTGCACTGGTGGGACAGCCTGTCATTGTCCGTTTCTGGACGTCATGTCTGTGACACCCGACACAAGAGGATTAATGAACCCTTATTGGTGTCTATTAATAGAATGGAAATTTGGAGAATTGGTTGGCAGACTTGATAAACAATAGATGTCTGGATCTCTTATATAACATATTTGGCAAGTGGACGTAAAATGGGATTGTTGGGGCGCATCAGTAGTTACCCGTTTGTGGCGACTGGATTGGTAGTTTGTGAGTGACATTTAGCGCCTAAAAGCTTTTATTTTGCTTTAATTTATAAAAAAAAATATTAAAATTTTGAAGGCTTACCTTCATTACAGGTGCCATTGCCTTAAATCTTTACCATATAAATGAAGCCTCTAGTATCGGAGAAAAACAAACTCCGTCTGACGAGCCAGTGGCGCGGAAATGGGCATGATACAATGCCATCTATATTCTAGTCCACAACAGCTAAGGCATGTGCATACATGCCACCTGTCGGCTAGGGGTTAAGTTTAAGGAATAGGTAAACAATTGAGAATTAGGTAGACCAAGGGATTAACTCCTTGGTGGCTAAACATTTTGTGTATGGAATTTTTCATTAGCTGAAAGCAGGTGTACCTAAACCAAACGGGTTAATTCACTTAACATTTTCCATGTTTTAAAACCTTCCATCCTTGAATTAATTTCAAGCAGAACTAACCTACCTTTGTTGTATTTCAGAAATTGCCTCTGAGGGTCTGAAGAATCGTGTGTTTGAGGTCTCCCTGGCTGATCTCCAGAATGAGACTGATGCTGAGAGGAGCTTCCGCAAGTTCCGCCTCATCGCTGAAGAGGT